GTTGATACGTAAGTCCAGACTGTTTATATTTACATACGCTTGGTCCCTGGGGGTTTTCTCGCATAAATATAAAATAGGAAAGCCGTTAATAAAGAAAGACAAATGAGAACATGTATTCAACAGCAGCAGCATTATATAACAAAATGAGCAAAACTTCGGTGAGCGCAATCAAGCAAAACAAGCAGCAGCACTCATCATCAGGCAGGTTAGTTTTAATGGTCTCTCTATCCACCAGGCTATTGTCGTGCAGGACAATAATCTAGTGGTTTAAAGCATTGGCTCGTGTTGGTGATTAGTAATTATGTGTTCAATCCTTGGGCCGGACAGTGTGTACTTGGACTATGTGAGAAAAAGACGAGAAATAACTGAGCAGTACTAAAAATAAGAACGAGTAGAATCAACCCCCATTGATTAAATAAAGGTTTCAGTTCGGAATTCTGTAGGCTACACCTGATGAAGGCCGGAGGGCACAACGACCGAAACGTTGTAATCACAATAACAAATATATAGAGAACAGTCCTGGTGTAAATAATGACATCTCATCCCAGAAATTTGGTATTCATAATGCAGTTTGGCACAAGAGCAATTCGTAATGAGCAATGTTTTGTCAGCCTTGAAATTCAAATTCCAACCTTTGACTTCGATACGAACACTCTCCAGTGGCGCCTTTCTTCATAACATCAGCTGCAAAGAAAGATACGACGCATGCATTCACACACACACACACACCCACACTAAAAAAAAATAACACACACACACAAATATACACACATACATGCGAATGAGCAATCACGCACGCACACACACATACACGCACATACATAAATACGAGACATGCACACACATATAGTAAATGTTTAAATATACAGAATATATACATAAAAGAACATATATAATTATATTTTCTACACATATATAAAGATAGAGAAAGAGAGGAAGAGAAATTGTCATAGGAATAAACACTGCATGATTGACTATTGGTTTTTCCCTTCAAATTCGAGACAATGATTACAAACTTCGTTTGAAGATCGCAAGCCAGCCATCATTCAGTGTTGATTCCTATATCCACATTGTCTATAAACGTTCTATCTGGGATATTGAGCAGTCTTTCTCTATAAATGTAGCACATTATATATATATATATATATATATATATATATATATATATATATATATATATATATATATATATATATGCGTGTTGGAGGAGGAAACAGACAAGGTAAAAACGTTTTCATTGAAAACGCATTTCTTTAGGTAGTTCTTCTGTAGGATATCCTGAAACGCGCTGTCAATAAAAAAAGATGTCTCACTTCATATGATTGATCTCCCATATATATATATATATATATATATATATATATATATATATATCATACAATTGGAATTAAGATACCATTAGTGCACGATCATTTTCACCCGCAAATTTTAAAATTAACAGGATTTTTCACACTGTTTATGGTGTTAATTTGTTGAAGAGGAATGGTCAGTTGGGGAAAGAAAGAGAGAACAAAATATGGAAGAATTGGAGAGGTATCAAGGAAGACATAAATTAGTGTAAAATTTGTGATGGTTAGAGGGGACAGAAAGAGGGAAAGGTCAGAAGATGGCATAGTTACAGGAAGTAACGTGGGGTATGATATTGTGGAGGTAGGATTGGCGGAGGAGAGAAAGGGAAAGATGTGCTGACCTACATCTTAATGGTAAAACGGCTGAAGTTTGATTCAATTCATTTTAACCCGCGAATTTTAAACTAATGGTATCTTAATTGCAATTGTATGAAATAATTTGATCTGTTTAATGAAAATAAAATGATGCGCTCTTTGTGAGTCAGTTTTAACATTTAATATTTAATATTTAAAATTCTATATTGTGTTAATAGGACTCGCTTGTATTATACCAACAGATTACTATATATATATATATATATATATATATATATATATATATATGAGGATGCTGAAATTTCTTCGAGCGAACCACATCCTAGAATATTAGCAAATGATCGAACATAGGAATATTTCTTTAATTCGTCTCGCTCGTGCCTAGTATTTTCAGCAAACATTATATATATATATATATATATATATATATATATATATGAATGATAGGATAATGAAAAAATAGGAAACGTATATAAATCTAACATGTTTAATTTTTGTTATGAAACACTTACGGACATAAATTATACACACGAACGCTGTCAAATGCGCGTGAAGTCAGGTTAACCAATGAAAATCAAACAACCCAAAAATAAAAATACCGGATCAATTTTTCTCGATAACTCTGATGAAACCTGACTAAAAGCGAAACACTTTCGATTTATAAACGTATCCTATTTGTTCTTTATCGTATCATTCTGTTGGATTCCGATCCATATTTAATCTGTATATGATCGCAATTCATATATATATATATATATATATATATATATATGACATGTATATATGTTTTCATATATACACGTCAATATGTGCTGTATATATATATACATATGTGTGTGTGTACTTATATGCACTACAGTTCAAATGTTCGAAGCCATAACAAAATAAGCATGGGATGAACTTGCCAAAAGAGTGAGAAAAATTAAAAAGGGTTCTGACAATTGTTGAAACAAGAATGGAATCAATTATCAAACTCATACTTCGAGAAACATTTGCAAGGAATGCCAAAAATTTGTGCAAGGGTAAAACGAGAGACAAATTTAATCCTAAAATGCTTTTATGTTTTTTGTCATGATGAAATTTTTAATAAAATTCAAGTCTCCCTTTTTTTATTATGTATAATAATTTTTTCTTATTTAAAGTACAAACAACTATTTTAGGGGCCAATTCATCAAAGTACCAGGTTTTTCCGGAAACTGTTGAACTGTACTGTATTTATATTTAGTACATAAACTTCATATATAGGTACATAATATACTTTTTTGTATATTTTATATGTATATATATATATATATATATATATATATATATATATATATATATATATATATATATATATATATTGTATATGCAAACTAATATGGTTAATATTAAAGCTTCATAAGAGAATGAGATATGGAGAAAAAGAACTGTATGACGTAAAAACGTTCTCAAATGAACGTGTAAAAAAACAAAACAAACAGAATGCCCACGAGACACACACACACACACACACATACATACGAATATACATTATCGTTTGAAACCCATATTGATAAATTAGAATTATTATACATTTACATACATAAAGCAATATTTACTGTTTTTTAGTTCGGCTTGTAATCAGTTAATTTCTGAAACTTTGAATGGACACGTCTTCCCTCCTTTAATTCGGAACGCCACAAGTTATACTAATGTTTCTTTAACAAGTCTGAAGCATCTTCTTTTCTTTAACAAGCACCTGAAGCATCATTAACCAATGAAAATCAAACGACACAAAAGTAAAAGTACCAGAATTTCTTTCTTCTTTTTCTTCATATCACATTCTCTATTGAAGTTTTAATAAGAGAGAAACATGTTAGACTGATAAACGATTCTTATTTGTTCTTCATTTTATCATATATATATATTTATTTCGTACAATTGGAATTAAGCCAATTGTACGAAAATAATTTGTTCTGTTTATTGAAAATAAACATTGAGAGATATTTGTGAATCAGTTTTAACATTTAATATTTAAAATTCTATATTATGTTAATAGGACTCGCTTGGATTATACCAATAGATTAATACCTATATCTATATATATATATATATATATATATATATATATATATATATATATATTTCATTAAAGACGACTGACAAGGTACTGCAATTAAGATTTGTATTAAATTTTCTTGTCTTCACATAGTGCCTTCTTTTATACAAAAAAAAATTAAATAAAAAGTGTAAGGAAACTTTTATAGAAGAGGGATTGATAAAAAAACACAATTACATATATATATATATATATATATATATATATATATATATATATATATATATATATATATATATATATATATATATATATATATATATATATATATATATATATATATATATATATATATATATATATATATATATATATATATATATATATATATATATATATATATATATATATATATATATATATATATATATATATATATATATATATATATATATATATATATATATATATATATATATATATATATATATATATATATATATATGTATATATATATATATATATATATATATATATATATATATATATATATATATATATATATATATATATATATATATATATATATATGTGTATATATATATATATATATATATATATATGTATATATATATATATATATATATATATATATATATATATATATATATATATATATATATATATATATATATATATATATATATATATATATATATATATATATACACCATGGCAGTTCAAAAGTTTGAACCACCCACAGAATTAGCATTTGATGAAATTGATAGAGTTGAAAAATGAAAAATAGCTCTTAGAGCCAATGAAAAAGAATGGGATCAATTAACAAACTTATACTTTGAGAAACGTTTGCAACGAATGCCAAAAGTTTGTGCTGCAGTAATCAAGGCAAAAGGAGTATATTTTGATGAGAGCAAAATTTAATCATAAGATGCTTTTTTCCTTTAGTCATAATAGCATTTCTAATAAAAAAAATCATGTCTCACTTTTTTTTTTTAAGCATGTTTAATAATTTTTCTCTCATTTAAAGTACACAAGAATTACTTATTGGGCCAATTAAAAAAATACCAGGACTTTCTCCAAACTTTTGAGCTGTAGTGTATATATATATATATATATATATATATATATATATATATATATATATATATATATATTCTTTTTGACATTGATTATTTTTCTGAATTCTCATATCTTGCATTGTCTTTGCTCACTTTCTCTCTCTCTCTCTTCAGTTCTTTACGTCTTTATTTTTCGTTTCTTTTTTCTCCTTTTTTTGCGGGGGCTTCCCAGTCTATTTACGCATATCTTATAAAAATAACCTCAAGTGTAGATAGAAAAGATAGGCCGAAAACTTGCAACAGTTCGCTTCTCAGAATTGGCTGCCCGTTCTGACATGAATATCTGGAACTTGGAAAAGGACGAAAGTCGGAAATCTCTTGCCACGTTACCCCTCTCTTAAATAATGGCGGAACCGTCTTCTCAATAAAATGTGCATAAAGGGAGACAATCCTGTTTCCATCAACGTTAAACACAATAGGGTAGGAGAAACCCCAGCCGTCCGCTTCGCTAATATACTGTAACAGTCCTTCGAATTTCATATTAAAATGATTGATCTCATCCGTCGGTTTGAGAACAGCTCGTCCAAACCTCCCGTGAGTCATATACAATTGCTTGGTAGACTCGTTCAAGAGAATCGTTATGTTACCGAAAGCTGGATGGCCGTAGGCGCCAACGTAATCCGCTAGAGGTCGTTGTCGTTTCAGTACGTTCGGAAGCGGGTGCCTTTTCGTGTGCCGCACGGATTCCCACCAGTTGTGGATCCTCTTCTCTCCGTTAGAGTTCAGGTTTTTGGGAAGGAGAGTTATTTTTTTCTTAGCCTTTAACTTGTATTTTTTCTCGTTGTAATTGCTTAGCCATGGGTCCGGAAAAGTGCAAGAACTGGACTTGTTTAGCCAGACTTCTTGACCGAGCAAGAGGTCGGCGGCGAAGTGGTGTATGACGCGGAGGGCGTTTCTTGACTGTTTGTTCATTGGTCCGTTAACACTGCTAAAGATGGCAACCATATTGTCAGGAAAGAGCCAAATCAAAGAATCGAACCCAAACACTCTTCCATTGTGCTGAACGTTGTGAAATCCTGGGGGAATAAAAGAAAGAATTCAAGAATTAAAAAATGCGTGTTCTTCAGAGGATATTTACTAAACTTAGTTCATAATGGGACTCATATTAAAACATTACATAAACATTAAATAAACGTTACATAAGCAGGAAACATTACATAAGCATTACATAAACATTATATAAGCAGGAATGAACAAAGGAATGAACAAAAGGAATAGTATAGATTAACATCGTTCAAATATAAAAAAAAAATTCTCTGAGTATTATATAGAATCCCGTCTTTAATTTTGTAGATTTGACAGATAACATACAAAAGCAGTAATAAACAAAGGAAGGATCAAAAGGAATAACATAGATTATTATATGTAAATATAAATATTGCTCTGAATATTCCACATGGTGTTCCTAAGGTCTGGACACATAGACAGATATGTATATTTTCAAGAAATGAAAATTTCAACATTTTATTAAATTAGAATATTAACAAATAATAACTTCAATATTGTCTCCATCATTTGTAATGCAAAGGTTAATGCGCTTTGCAAGATTCACGTGAATTAGACGCAATAATTCCATATTGCCATAAATTTTAGCAGATTCACTCTTCAACTTGTGTTGTAACTGTGATTTTAATAGAGAAGAACTTCTCCTTTGGCCTATCCCCGAAAAAGAAGTCAGTTCTTTTTTCTATCGACAAAACTATGTTCAATCTGTGTAGGTACAAAAAAAAAAAAAAAAAATACGGTACAGGATAATATCTATCTATATTTTGATTTTCCAAGCGTAGCTTACATGCAGCACAAGCCCGAAAGTAAGGGCACCCAATGAGGTTCGAACTCACTACTCAGTCGTAATCGTTCTAGCGAGACAAGATTGCTAACCATTATACCACCTAAGTGCCCCGATATCTGTCTATATTTCTGAGATCAGGTATTATGTACACTATTTACATTATTAGGACTATTGTCCTCGTCTTTGTTGCCATATTTATCACAACGCTTCGGCTGTTGTACGCTCCGGCCTTCTTCATGGTTGGAATGTCGAACTGAACCCTTGATTTCGCTCGATGTGGTAGACTGTTCCATTTCCACGTGCCATGTCTAATGGATGTCAGTAATCAGTTATCTCCTGTTAATTTACCTCTCCAAGTTCTCCACTGCCTTAACCAGGTATTGAACTCACAACTCTTTGGATCCTGTCACAGGATCTAACTGATAACTGACATCCACTAGACATGGTACGTGGAACTAGAACAGTCTACCCTAGCGAGCGAAATTAAGGGTTCAGTTCGACATTCCAACCACCTGAAGAAATCCGGAGCGTACAACGGCTAAAACTTTGTGATAAATATGGCAACAAAGATGAGGACAATAGTCCGAATAATGTAAATAGGTACAGGACAACTCAACACCGCCGACTGAGCGCCGTAACAACTCAGGATCGAGACAGCATCAGAAAAATATAACTTTTTTTTTAATAACCGAATAAAAGTAATTTTTTAAAGATTAAAATTGGAATTAGTGATAAAAATAATTTAATAAAAATTAAGAAAAAAGCAAAACAAAATATTTTAGTTAAATAGCTGGTTTATATCTCACTTGAAAAATAATACTAATTAAATTTGATTATACAAAAATTGTTTAAATTTGTTTTATTTGATAAAAATTGTTATTCAATTTCAATAATTCACAACATTAAATGTTATAATATTTTTATAAAAATATTTTAGAATTTCTATTTACTTTATTAGAAAATGAATTACATAACAATTTATGTAAAAATAAATAAATGAATTAAAATTAAATTACAGTATAATAAAATAATTAAAAAATTAAAAAAATTATAAACAAAAAACTGCTTCATTTTGTTTTTCATTTTTTGATTGGTCTGTTTTGTTTTATTGAATTTAAATTTTATTTAATGCCGACAAGATTGTTTTGTTTTATAGAGTTTAAATTTTATGCCGACAAGATTTTTTTGCTCGTAATATTTTTTCCAAAAATGTATTGTTGGTAATATTTTTTTCAAAGATATATTGCTGGTAATATTTAAAAAAAATGTACTGTTGGCAATAATTTTTCCAAAATATATTGCTGGTATTAACAACTATTTTTATACTTTCATAGTGTTTTGACCCCATTTTTTTTAACTATTTGCACATAGCTGGGACCCTGACAGGTCCTACCAACCGGGTAAGCGTGGACCTGGGAACACCAGAAATTAAGAGGTGGTTCGATGCTCCTCAAAACCTCCTTGCTGTCGGATGTAGTTTATCATCTTACCCAGAACGCGGATGTAGTTTATCGTCTTACACAGGACGCACATTTTTTGATTTATTTTATTAAAAACTAGTAGTAGAGCCCGGCGTTGCCCGGGGATGTAACAATAAGAGATAGATCAAGTATCGACCATCATAAAGACTGAAAATTAAAATTGAATTATTGTTTAAGGTTGACGGACACGCATGTCTTAATTAGTTTTTTTTTTTTTTTTTTAAGAATTGGTCAAACCTAAACTCAAACAAAAACATTGTTTTCAATCGTTATGAGTCTACCGATTGTATAGAATTTTATTATAAACAATTGTCTTGTAAATGGAATTTTTAAAGCATTCTGAATGTAAAAATAAAGAAAAAAGTGTGCAAGACAATAAGAAACACTACCTGCCAAAAAATGTGACGTTTTGTTGAAATCGGTTGAAAAAATGTAGGAAATCCGATCCCATATATAAACGAAACACACACACACACACACACACACACACACACACACACACACACACACACACACACACACAAATAAACAACCAACCTGGGTTTTATAAGTATAACTCAATATGAATTGTCCCCCTTTCATTAATGCCTCTTAATCGTGTTTTCAAATTGATTTCGTGCAATAACAATCGTGTTTTTCCCATTTTGGGCGCTGTCAGAACCACCGCAAGGTAATTTTACGTAGTCCTGTGAAGTTTTGTTGAAATCGGTTGAAAAATGTAGGAAATCCGATCCAATATATAAACGAACAGACACACACACATACACAACCTGGGTTTTATAATAAGTATGATTAGTTTAAAATGCGTGTTTTATTGAAGTATTTTTTATATGTCAATTTTCTCTATTACAAAATAATTTTTTTACGATTTACTTTATTAAAAATAATTAAAATACTATTCACTAATTAAGGTTTTAATCCTTAATAAATTACTTTTATTCGGTTATAAAATAGTTTATGCTTTTCTGGAGCTGAGTTGCCTCAATCCTGAGTTGTCCCGACGCTCAGTTAGCGGTGTTGAGTCGGCGGTGTTGAGTTGTCCCTTCCCGAAAAAAATATAGTTAACGAGATTTCCTATATGTCCAGACTTTAGTGATACCCTGTAGAATGATGTGTACCACTTTGTAGATTTGACATAGGAAGATATAATGCTAAGGATGGCGTATAAAAATAACTTTTACTCCTGGTTCTAAGAATAAAATACCTTCATTTGACCTATTTGATTTTGGTGGACGTAGCAGAGAAAACAGCAGAACCTAAGGACGGAATTATCATTTATTAGAGCTTCTGGTAGAGATATTCCAGATGAGTCGAGAGTTGAGTTGGAAGAGAATTTTCAGGCAAACGAACCTGTTTTTTCCGCAGTAGATGTCAATACTTCAAATTGATTGAAAAGAGGAGGGACAGAGAATTTGCTTTTGTTCAGCACACTCTCGCAAAACGACAGTAATGTCTGCAATCAAACTTTTGAGAAGATATACAGTGTCATTCTGTCACCAAATAGTGATTTTGCTTTTTTTTTTGAGGACACGCTTGATCGTACTACGAGCAATGACAAAGAGACGTCTGTTACAATCGAACCTCTCGCGTTGTTATAGCCAGAAGTGATTCATCTGGGCTATAGCAGATGAAGCGGTAGAAGATTGTGATTTCACTTGGTATCTCCCTGCTGGCACGAAAGCCTCGATGCCGGTTTTCATCCAGGAAGAGTGGCACATTTCTCAAAAGGACGAGAAAAATAACATTCTAAGGGACATCCCAAAGTCTCAATTAGTGTGTAGAAACATGTTCTGTTAATAGGGGGCTCGTGATTGATGGAGGAGCGAAAGGAGATATCTATAGACACTACCATGCGGTCGGAGTTGCCAAGAGGACAGGGGTAACAGCACGACATGAGTCCGGGAAAGAGATTAGGGAGAGATCAAGTCGAGAAGCGTGTCCGTCAGAGCTACGAGTAATTTTATTCTAATGTTAGTCTACATTTATACATTGTTTTAAAAAGCCACTAGTTTTGTTCGTAAAATTTTGTAAATGTTTAAAAACTAACAAGAGCTGTATGTACACTAATAGGCGCCTACATTATACGGATATTTCTACGAGCAAAAAACAGATGTGATAGAACGCGTAGCGTTTGTTGTCAGAACTAAAAAATCAAATCTAACCAGTGTATTACTAACAGATTTAGGCATACAAGTATTACGACTAGAAAGTTAAAAAAAAAGGTAATAGACAAGTGGTGTCACAGATTAAATCAGTGTTTCTCAACTCTTTTTTTTATTTCAGGGTGAACTTGTGGAATAAGTAATACTCTAGGGCACACTTTAAATTGTAGTAAGGAAAATTAGTCATGAAATTTGATAATAGGAAAATAATGAAGTTTTTTTCCTGAAATAAGCATTTATTTTTAAGACATTGCGTTGTTTATTTAAGTATGCTTGTGTGAAGCCTGTACTTTGATAAATTTTTTAATGTTAGGCCTTATATATTATGCCTTGAAGAAGGCAAGAGGGAAAAAATTACCCACTCCTTCTTAAAGATTAAGAAATTTAGCATCCAGTTTAAAATATCAAATGGCAAAGACATAACTTGGTGTTTCTAGCTTTTTGAAAAGAAAGTTATTTTAAATATAAAAATAATTCCTAAAATACTCTTCTGTTAACTAAAGGCGCATCTGGCTACCTTTCAAGGCGTATTAGTGGTCCCGGGCTCACCAGTTGAGAAACACCGGATTAAATTGATCAAAAAAGATTCAATTTACCTCTGTAGATACCCGAGCTCCAGCCCAGATCATAGGCGAATCGTCCTTCGGAAATTGGAAATACAGGTTGCTTTAAAAGTTTTCGGCCCAGAGGCATGGGTGTCGGAATTTGTGGGGTATGTAGTTCGTTGAACTCTTTTTCAGCCACAAGACGACGACCCTGTAAGTCGACCCCTCCTCTCAACTGAAATTGTAGCCATTTTTCCATATCAACCGCGTTGGAACAAATTGTAGCCGCTGGTCCTGCTGGTCCAAGAGATCTTCAAAAAGAATATATTAAGTAAAAGTAAGTAAATAAGTATGTAAAAAACAGGTCGATTGAAAGAAGCAGAATATAATTCAAACTAAAACATCTTAATATCACCAAACCTTAAGTTCGACATCACGATGTCGTATATGACCATCGAGAGACATCATTGTAAGTCTCAATTGTGTCTTGAACAGATGACATACTGTTCCATGAACAGTATTCATATAAAGAAACATTTCTATGATATAGGAATAAAATGATATATGATATAAAATAGTATAAAATTAATGTAAATAATATAAAATTGATATATAGAATACTGATCTGTTCTACGTACATGAAAACGTATTTTTGCTAAAAGTATTCATATTAAAAGCTACTCTACTGAATAAAAATAAGATATAACATTAAGTAAATAACATAATAATATAAAAACAGTATAAAATAATATAAAAATAATATAAGGAATAGTATAAAATAACCTAATATAAAATAGTATAAATATGTAATTATAATAATACAAAAATAAGAAAGTTATAAATAATATAAATAGTAAAAACAGTATAAAATAATATAAAAATATATAGACTAAAAATATTTTATGAACATTATTTCAAAAATAGTTTCTTGAATAGTATGCATCTTAAAAAACAGTTCGCTGAGCAAAAAAACAAATATGTAGAATAATATAAAATAATAAAATATATAAAAATAACTTAATAATATAAAATAGTATAACAATAATATAGACAATATAAAATAATATAGATAATAAAACTGCTTAATAACAATATTCATTTTCAAATGATCTGTGAACAGAAATAAAATGATATACAGAATAATATAAAACAATAAATATTATAAAACAATGTATAGAATAAAAAGTTATCTATGAACATTACTTTAAAAATAGTTATATGAACAATATTCATTTTAAAAAGCTGTTTTATGGACATTGAAATAAAATAATATATGAAATAATATAAAATAATATAAACAGCATTAGATTAATTTATAGAATAAAAATTGTTTTATGAACATCAAAAAATGTTCCATGAACACTATTCATTTTAAAAATACACAATTTAATTAGATAACCAAAAATATATCTAGTTTTTAATTACTATAAACCATATTTGTAGTAGGTACACGTGTTTGAGTTAGCGTACCTGTATTTTAAATTTTCCTAAACAGGCCTCAATCGAAAACTCATACTAAAGAAAATGTGTAACCTCCACCGACAGAAATCAAACCTATATTCTCTTTTGCCATCAGAGAAATTAGGCCACTGAAGCGTTGTCTTCAGACTCATGTTGCAGTGTCTATGTTTCTTACTGAAAATCAAATCAATGCTCCTTTCACCAGGAGAAAGGTTTAATTGTGGCAATAAATAACACAACACATATAATCTGTATTGGCTATTTTATTGTCTTTAGTAGAGAAATTTTGCCAATTATTTATCAGTGACCGAGAAGGGGTAATTAGTGGGAGAAATTTCCCAATCCTAGCATTGCTAGTCTATGCAATATGAAGTGAAGATTCTCACTAAAGTATTCTTGAGGAAGAAAGCTTTTTTTTTTACCAGGAAATCTCATCTTTACGCTAGTTGCCGATTCGTTACTTTATGGACCAATGTAAAGGCACTGTCACACCCTAAATCTTTTTTTTTTCTTTCAACAGATCTTCTTTTGTATGTGTCCATATTTCTGAGATGAGGTATTGTGTACACTATTTACATTATTCGGACTATTGTCTTCATCTTTGCTGCCATATTTATCACAACGTTTCGGCCTTTCAGTGACTGGCCATATTTCTGAGATGAGGTATTGTGTACACTATTTACATTATTCGGACTATTGTCCTCATCTTTTTCGCCATATTTATTACAACGTTTCGGCTGTTGTACGCTCCGGCCTTCTTCAGGTGGTTGGAATGTCGAACTGAACCCTTTATTTCGCTCACTGTGGTAGACTGTTCTAGTTCCACGTGCTATGTTTAATGGATGTCAGTTGTCAGTTATCTCCTGTTAATTCCCATCCCCAAGTTCTCCACTGCCTTAACTGGGTATTGAACTCTCACTTTTTGGGTCCTCTCACTGGAGCTAACTAACAAGGACACATGGCACAGTGGATAAAGGCGTTAGTTAGATCCAGTGACATACCCAAAGAGTGTGAGTTCAATACCCGGTTAAGGCAGTGGAGAACTTGGAGAGAGGAATTAACAGGAGATAACTGACAACCGACATCCATTAAACAGTCTACCCCAGTGAGCGAAATGAAGGTTTCAATTCGACATTCCAACCAACTGAAGAAAGCCGGAGCGTACAACGGCTGAAACGTTGTAATAAATATGGCGACAAAGATGAGGACAATAGTCCGAATAATGTAAATAATAGACCTTATTTTATCGTCAACTGATCCTCTAAAATATATTGTTTTCGAAATATGAAATATTTCCAACACCTTTTTTTCTTCCACTTTTATTTAGTTTATCCTCGTCAATTAAGTTTTTTTCTTTTGATTGTTTTCTTCCTTTTCTTACATTTTTTCATGTCTTTTATCATCGTCCTTTTATATTACTATCATTTTTTCTATGTTAATAAGTTTCCGCTTATTTCTTTTACCTTTATTTCTTTCGTTTTCTTTAAATCATTCTTTCTTTTTCATTAAATCTTTCATTCATAATTTCGTCATTAATTCTCATACCTTTCTTTTTAACTTTATTTCTTAATTAAATCTTTTTTTTCTTTCTTAATTCTTTTTTCTCTTTCAATAAATCTTTCCTTCTTCATTATTTTTCATTCTTTAAATCTTCTATTAAACGTTTCCTTTTCTTAAATCACTCTTTCTTTTTTTTCTTTCTTTCTTTCTTTCTTTCTTTCTTTCTTAAATCATTTTCTTTCATCATTATTTTTTTATAAATCTTTTTTCTTCCTTCCTTCTTGCTTTCTTTATTGCTTCATAAACTATTGCTCCAATAAATTTTTCTTTCTTTCTTTCTTTCTTTCTTTCTTTAATAAATGTTTGTTTGTTTGTTTGTTTGTTTGTTTGTTTGTTTTGTTTCTTTCGTTTCTTTCTTTCTTTCTTTCTTTAATAAATGTTTGTTTGTTTGTTTCTTTCTTCCTTTCTTTCTTTAGTAAATATTTCTTTCTTTCTTCCAGACTATTTTTCTTCCCTTCTTTCTTTCCAATTTTATTTTCTCTTCCAAATCTCTCTCTCTTTTCCCCACTTAAATACTTTTATCTAATCTTTCTTTAGACTTTCCACTCCCTCCATTCCTCTCCTGTGTTTTTCCTTCCTTTCATCTTTCTTCCCCACCCTCCATCACTTCCTTCCTTCCTTCCTTCCTTCCTTCCTTCCTTCCTTCCTTCCTTCCTTCCTTCCTTCCTTCCTTCCTTCCTTTTCTTCTTATTTTCTTAACGTCTCTCTTCAATATTATTTTGTATTTTTCTTTGGGGGATATTTTCCTTTCTTACTTCTTTCCTCCTTTCCCTCCTTCCTTCCTTCCTTCCTTCCTTCCTTCCTTCTTTCCTTCCTTCCTTCCTTAATCCTCGTTGTACGAGTCAAACTAAACACTACTACAAAATGCAATGTTATTATCCGCCCGTAATGCAGTCGCCGTAATTTACCCCGAGAGTTCAATTAAAGTTGTCTAAACAATCTCAAAAGCTTCACAAATCACATTTTTTTTCTCCTTTCGGCGAAATTACTTTTCTTTTTAATACAAAATATAAATGTCTACTGTTGCTTCTTTAATTCTATTTGCAGCCAAATGCGAAATAATGAAGCCAAAGTCAACCAACAATACATCCAATCTGATTTAAAAATAGAAGTTTATTTTCTATGAAGAAAACAAAAAAGGGTACCTTACTTGAATGCAATGACGAAGACTGCCTCGAGACAGGAAAGAGAATTCTTAAGGTAGAATAAACAGAAATGCATCAGCTTAATACAACGCTTGAGTAAAGGGCTAAAGGCTTCTGGCAAGTTTCCTTTAATAGTATAATCAGTAAGAAAAAAACAGAATTTAGGTTTTTCGCAGAGTCGAAGAGAGAATCTTGTTTACAACTTGATGCTTATGAGCTTATATACATTGATTAGTACCACAATTTTCTCAGATATCTTGATTGATATCTTGAAAAGTTACAGTACTATTTTGTTCCAAATACAAGTGGTGTCTTGAATAGTAATGCCTGTGGAAATTTTTCTTATAAATGTATTGGTTCAAATAAATATTCCGAAAGGGATTATTATTTCTTCTTCTTCTTCTTCTTCTTCTTCTTCTTCTTCTTCTTCTTCTTCTTCTTCTTCTTCTATACCACGTTTCTTTACGACGTAGGTGTTCATAGCTCTCCACATCATCCTATCCATTGTGGCACATAACAGTTTTTTCTCCCTTTGCTAAGGTTTCCACTCCCTGTTCCCATCCATTCACACAAACACGTCAGGTAAATGGCTCGCTGCCTTCCGCCATCTCTCTTGCCCAGTGTATGTCTCGTGAGAGTTAAGTTTTCCAAGCCTTCCTCATTAATAGTCCAAGGAATTTCAGCTGTCTTTTCCTGCTTCTGAGCAGAACTGTTCTTTCTTCCGCCATTCACTTTAAGTCTTCATTGTTGTTTGCTCGCTCCGTCCATGGAATTCTCAGTATCATTCTATAGAACTACATTTCTGTTGCCTTTAGTTTTCTTCTCATCCGTGAGGAGATTATTTATATAAATTTAATAATAGGATAATATAATGATATCGTGGAGAAAATTATTTGCCAAATAAGCTTGCTGTTAAAAATAAGCAACCGTGTTGGATGTGAAGAAAATAGAAGGAAAAATTTAATCTTTTGTGTACTTATAT